CTCCATACCAAAAACAACAAACTTCCCTATTAAGTTAACAAGAGTATTACAAAATCAACCACACTCAACCACTGATCCACGCAGACTGTAAAAAATACTGATTTATGTGCGGGTGAAACCAGCCCGTCCCGCGCAAGTGTGAAAGCATACATAAGAGCCCATGATCACAGAAAACGTACTACTATAACCCAGAATGCCAACCGCATGGTAAAAAGCATTAAGTGATTTTAGAGAGTTTTGCCTGTCAATCCGTAGGCAGCGCCACCAGCGTTGCTATGCTATTGCATGGCAACGCTGGTGGCGCTGCCTACGGATCGACAGGCAAAGCTCTCTCAAAACGCTTAATGCTTTTTACCATGTGGTTGGCATTCTGGGTTATAGTAGTACGTTTTCTGTGCCCATGATATAAAAACTATTCATGCGGTTTCAACCCGCATTGGAAGTTTAGGTTCGTGCAGGTGATTTTTCAACCCGGACAGAGGTTTAGGTCTGTCCGGGTCAACCCGCACTGGTGTGAAAGCTCCCATATGATACTTGTGTGAACCTGGCAATAACTCGGCAATAAGTAGTGCGCGCGCCCGAAAAATCTATTGCTAGCTGTTTTGCGGCAAAATACGTCCGCGATCCATATTACCAATAATTCCAACAGATAGAGGACACTTTAACGGACACGACAGTATCAACATTATGATTGGTGTGAACCTGGCAATAACTCCAGCCATAAGTAGTGCGCGCGCCCGAAAAAATCTATTGCTGGCCGTTTTGCGGCAAAATGCGACCGCGTAACATGAAACCGATGATGTCACCAGATAGAGGACAGTTTAACGGACACAACAGCATCAATATCATGTACCTGGGGAATAAGAAAGGGGGGGTAAAGTCAGCAATAAGTAGTGGGCGCGCCCGAAGAAATCTATTGCCGGCCGTATTGCGGAAAAATACGTCCGCGAGCAATAATAACGACGATGCCAACAGATAGAGGAAACTTCAACGGACACGACAGTATCAACATCATGTACCTGGGGAGTAATTTAGGGGGGGTAAAACCAGCAATAAGTAGTGGGCGCGCCCGAAAAAATCTATTCCCGGCCGTATTGCGGAAAAATACGTCCGCGAGCAATAATAACGACGATGCCAACAGATAGAGGACACTTCAACGGACACGACAGTATCAACATCATGTACCTGGGGAGTAATATAAGGGGGGTAAAACCAGCAATAAGTTGTGCGCGCGCCCTTTCAAATCTATTGCTGGCCGTATTTCGGAGAAATACGTCCGCGAGCAATAATAACGACGACGCCAACAGATAGAGGACCCTTCAACGGACACCACAGTATCAACATCATGTACCTGGGGAGTAATATAAGGGGGGTAAAACCAGCAATAAGTTGTGCGCGCGCCCTTTCAAATCTATTGCTGGCCGTATTTCGGAGAAATACGTCCGCGAGCAATAATAACGACGACGCCAACAGATAGAGGACCCTTCAACGGACACCACAGTATCAACATCATGTACCTGGGGAGTAATATAAGGGGGGTAAAACCAGCAATAAGTTGTGCGCGCGCCCTTTCAAATCTATTGCTGGCCGTATTTCGGAGAAATACGTCCGCGAGCAATAATAACGACGACGCCAACAGATAGAGGACCCTTCAACGGACACCACAGTATCAACATCATGTACCTGGGGAGTAATATAAGGGGGGTAAAACCAGCAATAAGTTGTGCGCGCGCCCTTTCAAATCTATTGCTGGCCGTATTGCGGAGAAATACGTCCGCGAGCAATAATAACGACGACGCCAACAGATAGAGGACACTTCAACGGACACGACAGTATCAACATCATGTACCTGTGGAGTAATTTAGGGGGGGTAAAACCAGCAATAAGTAGTGGGCGCGCCCGAAAAAATCTATTCCCGGCCGTATTGCGGAAAAATACGTCCCCGAGCAATAATAACGACGATGCCAACAGATAGAGGACACTTCAACGGACACGACAGTATCAACATCATGTACCTGGGGAGTAATTTAGGGGGGGTAAAACCAGCAATAAAAAGTGGGCGCGCCCGAAAAAATCTATTCCCGGCCGTATTGCGGAAAAATACGTCCCCGAGCAATAATAAGGACGATGCCAACAGATAGAGGACACTTCAACGGACACGACAGTATCAACATCATGTACCTGGGGAGTAATTTAGGGGGGGTAAAACCAGCAATAAGTAGTGGGCGCGCCCGAAAAAATCTATTCCCGGCCGTATTGCGGAAAAATACGTCCGCGAGCAATAATAACGACTATGCCAACAGATAGAGGACACTTCAACGGACACGACAGTATCAACATCATGTACCTGGGGAGTAATTTAGGGGGGGGTAAAACCAGCAATAAGTAGTGGGCGCGCCCGAAAAAATCTATTCCCGGCCGTATTGCAGAAAAATACGTCCGCGAGCAATAATAACGACGATACCAACAGATAGAGGACACTTCAACGGACACGACAGTATCAACATCATGTACCTGGGGAGTAATATAAGCGGGGTAAAACCAGCAATAAGTAGTGCGCGCGCCCGATAAAATCTATTGCTGGCCGTATTGCCGAAAAATACGTCCGCAAGCAATATTAACAATGATGCCAACAGATAGAGGACACTTCAACGGACACGACAGTGTCAATATCATGTACTTGGGGAGTAATATAGGGGGGTAAAACCAGCAATAAGTTGTGCGCGCGCCCGATAAAGTCTATTGCTGGCCGTATTGCCGAAAAATACGTCCGCGAGCAATAACTTTTACCCCCCCTAAATTACTCCCTAGGTACATGAAGTTGATACTGTCGTGTTCGTTGAAGTGTCCTCTATCTGTTGGCGTCGTCGTTATTATTGCTCGCGGACGTATTTCTCCGCAATACGGCCAGCAATAGATTTGAAAGGGCGCGCGCACAACTTATTACTGGTTTTACCCCCCTTATATTACTCCCCAGGTACATGATGTTGATACTGTCGTGTCCGTTGAATTGTCCTCTATCTGTTGGCATCATTGTTAATATTGCTTGCGGACGTATTTTTCGGCAATACGGCCAGCAATAGATTTTATCGGGCGCGCGCATTACTTATTGCTGGTTTTACCCCCCCTAAATTACTCCCCTGGTACATGATGTTGATACTGTCGTGTCCGTAGAAGTGTCCTCTATCTGTTGGCGTCGTCGTTATTATTGCTCGCGGACGTATTTCTCCGCAATACGGCCAGCAATAGATTTGAAAGGGCGCGCGCACAACTTATTACTGGTTTTACCCCCCTTATATTACTCCCCAGGTACATGATGTTGATACTGTCGTGTCCGTTGAATTGTCCTCTATCTGTTGGCATCGTCGTTATTATTGCTCGCGGACGTATTTTTCCGCAATACGGCCGGGAGTAGATTTTTTCGGGCGCGCCCACTACTTATTGCTGGTTTTACCCCCCCTAAATTACTCCCCAGGTACATGATGTTGATACTGTCGTGTCCGTTGAAGTGTCCTCTATCTGTTGGCATCGTCGTTATTATTGCTCGCGGACGTATTTTTCCGCAATACGGCCGGGAATCGATTTTTTCGGGCGCGCCCACTACTTATTGCTGGTTTTACCCCCCTTATATTACTCCCCAGGTACATGATGTTGATACTGTCGTGTCCGTTGAAGTGTCCTCTATCTGTTGGCATCATTGTTAAAATTGCTTGCAGACGTATTTTTCGGCAATACGGCCAGCAATAGATTTTATCGGGCGCGCCCACTACTTATTGCTGGTTTTACCCCCCTTATATTACTCCCCAGGTACATGATGTTGATACTGTCCTGTCCGTTGAAGTGTCCTCTATCTGTTGGCATCGTCGTTATTATTGCTCGCGGACGTATTTTTCCGCAATACGGCCGGGAATAGATTTTTTCGGGCGCGCCCACTACTTATTGCTGGTTTTACCCCCCCTAAATTACTCCCCAGGTACATGATGTTGATACTGTCGTGTCCGTTGAAGTGTCCTCTATCTGTTGGCGTCGTCGTTATTATTGCTCGCGGACGTATTTCTCCTCAATACGGCCAACAATAGATTTGAAAGGGCACGCGCACAACTTATTGCTGGTTTTACCCCCCTTATATTACTCCCCAGGTACATGATGTTGATACTGTCGTGTCCGTTGAAGTGTCCTCTATCTGTTGGCATCGTCGTTATTATTGCTCGCGGACGTATTTTTCCGCAAAACGGCCGGGAATAGATTTTTTCGGGCGCGCCCACTACTTATTGCTGGTTTTACCCCCCCAAAATTACTCTCCAGGTACATGATGTTGATACTGTCGTGTCCGTTGAAGTGTCCTCTATCTGTTGGCATCGTCGTTATTTTTGCTCGCGGACGTATTTTTCCGCAATACGGCCGGCAATAGATTTTTTCGGGCGCGCCCACTACTTATTGCTGACTTTACCCCCCCTTTCCAATTCCCCAGGTACATGATATTGATACTGTTGTGTCCGTTAAACTGTCCTCTATCTGGTGACATCATCGGTTTCATGTTACGCGGTCGCATTTTGCCGCAAAACGGCCAGCAATAGATTTTAGCGGGCGGGCGTACTACTTATTGCCAAGTTATTGCCAGGTTCACACAAGTCCATATGATTCAATAGTCTAAACAGCTTTGTCCGGTGCGGGACGGTCCCGCACCACGCTGGTGTGAAAGAAGGCGTAGGAGAGCCCTGACTTGGACCAGGCCTAACTTAGATGTATACCGGTACTTTTAAAAATAGATCCAAGAAGTAGGCCTAGGCCTAACCCTTCTTTGCTTTAGTAATTTAGGTGACCACCAATGGTTGACCTATCAATTCTCATCCCTAGGGCCTAGACTAGCTTGGTTGATGAAAATATATTAGGCCTAATAGGCCTGCGCAAGTTATTACCAATTTTGTGAGCCTAGTAGAATTTCTAAGGGACAAGATATAAAAAATCTGTCGATATGTTAATATGAATAAGACACTTACTGGTTCTTCCTGACCTTCTCTTCTAACTGCGAAATAGCAGTCAAATTTTGGTTTGGATGAAAATAAAAACCGTATAAAGTTGGGAGGAGGATGGACTGATTCCATTTTGGATAGTTAGTAGGACTACTTAGTACGTAGACCTAGCCTAAGTTAGGCTGGCTGGCTATGTGCTATGTTAAGCCAAAGCTAGATAAGAAAATTTCAACTCAAACTTTAAGATATAATAAAATCCTTCTTAAATTCACATCACGGCACGATCACTTCACAAAGACTTAAGGTTTGCTCTTGCTGTATGATGAAGACAAAGTACTTGAATGGAAATGGAAATGAAATCGTCACGTGGTCGTCACTCGTCGGTCGACTCCGACTTCCGACTCAGTGTTTCCATCCGCAAGAAAAAAATATCCCTGGGCCAACGTCAAAAAATCCCTAGTTATCCTTAGTCCGTGTTCTAATAATCCCTCCAATTATCCCTCTATATCAAATCTAGATAATTTATTATTTTTGCAGCAATACCAATGGATATCATGTATAGGTAGCCACCTAAAATATGGCAACTGGTGATATTATTCTTCAATATCCCACATTATTTATAATGTAACACTATATAAAAAACATTTTTGTACCATTAAAACCACGGCCACCTTTAACTCCAGGCAGGCCGCGGCCTGGTAGAATTGGCAACGTTGCAAGTACCGTAGTAGGCATTGTTTAGCGCAAGCCGTCCCATAAGTTAACATGAAAAAAAAATAATATAGAATCGAAAACCAAAACAATATAAATTGAAAATCTATTTCTGTACATTGAATGTGGAGTCAACATTTAGCTCAGTAACCAAGCTTTCGTATTCTTAAAAAAATACATAAATATCATTAGCTTAGCGTTCTCCAAACAAACACCTTTTACAACACTATACTTGCAACGTTGCCACTTCGAAGGCCGTGGCCTCCGGCCTGGAATTAAAGGTAGCCGTGATTAAAAACTGTCTATGTGGTACAAAACAAGATTAATTGGTATACAATTGTTTCAAAAATATTATTTAAGTGTCCAAATTTCAAACTTAATAGTCTTTTTCAAACAAGGCCACCATGCCTTGGTGAAAAGGTTACCCCAAGTTAGTTACTAACCAAAGAACATCACAGAAATCACCGGCATACAAAATAAAAACGAAAACAAACATTCGACATTGACACAGGGCACAGGGCTACTAAGAAACAAATACAGTAATCTAGATCCGCCATTCCATTCCACCGACCAACTCCAACTTCGCTTGTTTCCTGCAGTGTTGGCTGTTTGTTACTCTTCCCTGTGAGTGTCCCGACTTTGAAATACTACGTCACTACCATACCACTACCTACAACCATAGGCCGGTATTATTACACTATCATAGTTCTATGACATATTATATTATCAAATATATGATAATATGTTCTCTCAAGGAGAACATATTATCATAGTTCAAAACCATTATAATAGTTGGTACATTACACTGTAATAATTTTCATCAAAGACATATGATAATAGATATATGTCATAGAACTATGATAGTGTAATACGGGCCATAGACAAAACATCCTCCTTGAGGAGTATCTTTTATCTATGCTACAATCGATTTGTTACCAAAACCTAGGGAAAAAATAGTATAATCAATGTGTTATCAGTCCCTTGCAAAATTAGCCAAAATAGGTCCTTAACGTTGTTGAAATACAGCCATAATGTATTATTTTATCAATATTTCAATTTTATAATGTCAAAGGCCTGAAATCCCTAGAAAATCTCAAAAATCCTTCAATTTCGCTGATTATCCCTAGTTATCCCTCAATCCCTTTTCAATCCCTCGAAGGCCCTAAATATCCCTAGAAAGGGATTTTTATCCCTCAAATGGAAACACTGTTCCGACTCCGACTGGTCGAGTCGAGGTCGAGCCTCGAGCGTGGTGGAGCGTGTCGAGTCGAGCGAGGTCGACTGGTCTCAATCTCTCAATGGTCATATCCGTTATTCGATTCCGATTCCTCGATTCCTCCTCTCGTCCTCGACCCTCGTTCAATCCAATCCAATCCAACTAGAATATACTGGGGACCTGGGGAACGAGCTGGCGTAGTGGTTTGAGCGCGGGACTTCAGTCACTGAGGTCCCGGGTTCGATCCCCGCCAAGTTACCAATGCATTTTATCCAAGTGATAATTCCGTAACCCCTAGGTCTAGCCTGAAGTAATGTGAAAAACAATCCCAGGCTCGTGCTTAGCGTCCTATAAAAAAACCAGATATACTAATATACAGTATGTAATTAAGAATTGAACAAATCTGTATTTTTTAAACTGAAATAGATAGAAATATTCTGTTTGTGGCATTGATTTTTAACAAAGAATCCGCAATTTTTTACACAAAAAAAAATGTTCTACCCTTTAACGGGGTAGGGGGTGAGGGTGATTTATTTTTTTAAAACAACCCCTGAGTGTCCCCTCATTTTGGAGGGTTTCTCAAAAGAAACACAATGACGCAAACCCAAGGTAGATACTGTATTTCATCCCTAGCTTAAATGGCGGGTATTCCAAAATTTGATTTATGTGAAAAAGCACCCATTTTGGAATACCTGCCATTTTGGCTAGGGGTGAGATATTCACTTCGGGTTTGCGGCATTGTGTTTCTTTTGACAAGCCCTTCACTCAATAGGGGTTGCTATTAAAGGGGTGAACAATTTTTGTTGGTGTAAAAAATTGCGGAACCTTTGTTACAATCAATGCCACGAACAGAATATTTCTATCTCTTTTAGTTTAAAAAACACAGATTTGTTTCAATACATAATTTACACACTGTATATACAAAGTTTGAACGCTCACCACTCGGGCGGGATTTTCAAATCAATATAGAAGGAGTTGGCGCGGCTGTCACGATTCCATCTGCAGAGTGCAAACTTTATCGAAAAATACAGTATGTATAAACAAAATTTGTTCAAGCTATTCAGTTGAACTAATTGTCATCTACAAAGCCAGCCATCGAGTTTGATTAAACAACTTGAAGGATTCAACTTTGTAATATGTACTGACTCACAATCGAGAGTCCTAGAGAGTACTTATAATGGAATTGAGAAGAACGGATTAACGTCAGAAATTATTTATCTTGCTATGGAATGTGAAAAAATATAATTTTCAAATGGGTACCAGGACCTTGCGGTATACTACACAATGAGTTAGTCGTGCTGCATGGTGCACAAGGCTCTTGTCATACAGGAGCCACAGTACCTTCTTGAGTGGCTCTCTTTCCGGGAGGATTTCTCTCCAGCGCAGTACCCGCCATGGAGGTCCCCAGCTTCACTTTCCAAGAGTATGAGGCTTGAGTTTGGAAGGAGAAGCTTCTCGTACTTCGGCCAAAAGCTGTACAACGACCTCCCCTCTGGCCTCAATAAATATGCCTTTCCATTTTTTAGAGCCAAAATTAAGGAACTGTACTGTTATGATTAGTTGTTATTCAGATTTTCTTTTTTCTGTTATTGTTATTGTTATGTTGTTAGTGTTATTGTTATTGTTGTTATTGTTCTTGTTATTGTTCCTGTTTATTTGTTTGTTAGTTAAGTTATTGTTACTTATAATATGACGAGAGTTGTTCTGAAAAGCAGTTGTACTGAGAAACGCTTGATCAATAAAGGCATTTTTATTTATTTATTAGGAAATTCTGCTTGATAGACCCCAAGCAGTAAAGACATTCAACCCTGACCATCCTCAAAATCCCATTTTAACATTAGAAATATCCCAATCTTCTTGAAAAACAAATTACAATAATAAAAATAACCATGTGAAAGTAACTATGCTAACAAAAATTGACAATTTTATTGTACAACCATGTAACTAACAAACTGCCCATTTCAGATGACAATAATTATACTAGTCCAAAGGAAGCAACCAAACCGAAAAAAGTTATAATTATGTAAAATATAGAACCTCGTGGCTGCATTGTTTATAAAAAGCAAAGCCGGCCATTTTTGGCAAAATTGAAAAAAAGCTAAATGCTCAAAAGTTGTAAAATGTTATTCTATTTATCGCAGTTTGAAGAATTTGCTTAAGCCTTGAAAGTAACCGTCGATTTCGACCCTCTACGTAGGCGTTATTGGTTACACCATTTTCATTGCGAAAATGATAGATGAACAGTTTAAGAGTTTTTATCAAAGTATAAGGTAATATCCTCGCACGTTTTTGAATTATTAAAGAATGTCCATCACATCTTTTGATGAGCTACTCTGCGGTTGAAGCCACATTTAACGAAGATCAGTACACAATTCAGGAATTCAATCAGTGCTGAAGAAAGATTAACGATAACTCTAGCATCTTTCACCTTTAATTTAATCTCCAATCAGTTGCTGAACATCTCTCCTCCAACTAAATTCCAACATTTCTCACGTTCAGTCCTATCAGAATACTCTTGAAAGTGTATATCCCACAGTAAATAAATCTTTTGAAAATGGAGTTTTTCCTAGTAAACTAAAGACACCAAGGTAGTGCCTATCCACAAAAAGGATGATAAAGATCAAGTAAAAAACTACAGGCCAGTGGCAGTCCAAAGTGCATTTTCTAAGATTTTTGAAATAATTTTCCTCAAACGACTTAATCCTTTTTTTATCACATAACAATCTTTTATAACCACAACAATATGGATTTAGAAACAAATAGTTCAACAACTGATGCAATTTTTGATCTATTAGTCTCAGTACATGACAACCTGGATGTGTGCGAAGAATCCCTGTGCTTGTTTTATGACATGACAAAGGCCTTTGACCTTCTCTCCCATAAAATTAAACTGGCAAATATTGGAATTAAAGATAAGCCACTCCAATGGATTTCTACCTATCTACAGACACCAGATTGTAACAATAAAATATTCAGGCTCTGATGGACTAACAAGAAACTACCGTTCTACAATTTCCCCTGCCATAAACACCGGAGTGCCGCAAGGCTCCACCCTTGGACCAGAATTGTTTCTGATCTATATGTCAATGATAACTCTAGCATCTTTCACCTTTAATTTAATCTCCAATCAGTTGCTGAACATCTCTCCTCCAACTAAATTCCAACATTTCTCACGTTCAGTCCTATCAGAATACTCTTGAAAGTGTATATCCCACAGTAAATAAATCTTTTGAAAATGGAGTTTTTCCTAGTAAACTAAAGACACCAAGGTAGTGCCTATCCACAAAAAGGATGATAAAGATCAAGTAAAAAACTACAGGCCAGTGGCAGTCCAAAGTGCATTTTCTAAGATTTTTGAAATAATTTTCCTCAAACGACTTAATCCTTTTTTTATCACATAACAATCTTTTATAACCACAACAATATGGATTTAGAAACAAATA